CAACGCGGCCGGGCAACCCAGCACGAGTACCACAGCCGCCCCTCCCAGCAGCTCTGCTCCCAGCAGCACCACTCCCTGCAGCAGCAGCGACAGCAGCAGAGCGGCAAGGGCAAGAGCTGCCATGGCATGGCTGTGGCGATCGTCCCTGCGCTGCAGAGTGCTTGCCGTCCCAGAATCGTGCTTGAGCGCCACCACAGTCACAGCCCCCTGGAGCGCCAGACCCAGCAGACGCAAAATCAGCAGCGAGATCACCAGCAGCACCACTCCCAGCAGCACCACCGCTGCAGCCGCAGCTGCACGGGGGGAGGCCGGGAGAGCAGCTCCCCTGTCCCGTGCCGTAACCATGGTGCCCGTGGCGCCCATGACACACATTGCGGCCCTTGTGGCGAGAGTGAGAAGACAGCAGTGCTGTGGCTGCTGGGGCCAGCACACGGCCGACGAGGCCAGTGGGGAGGCGATGCAGTGCAAGCGCTGTGTGCAAGTGATGAGGGCTGCTGCTATGGGTTGGAGGATGGGAAGGATGCTCGTCCGCGTGGTGGCACGTCGATCGTGAATGAACACTCAGCTGAGGCGCGCTCGGCAGCGATGCACTCGACGCTGCAACCCTTGGCAGTGAATTGCTCTCCCACAAAAATCTTGCCTCTGAAGCACCTGCCCCAGCTGCATCACTCGGCCTTGAAGTGCTCGTACTCAGCTTTGGAACCCTGTGCTGCTAAGGGTTTTGGTAACGAGTTGAAACGGTCATGTGCAGTCAATCGCAACCCTGAATTGGCTGCAGCTGCAGCACTTGCTCCTGCTACAGTTCCTGCTACGTCACCTGCCACATCTCCTGCTGAAGCCACTCCTACAGCTGCTGTTACGTCTCCTCCTGCCCCAGCTGCCCCAGCAGTGTGCACAGAGATCGGCCTGGCTCTGCTTCCAATGCCCTCCCCACCAGCCTCAACACCCAGACAGTCATCACCTCTGCGGATCAGCACAGGCAGAGGCAGCGACAATGGCGGTGGGAGAGCGGATGCATGCATCAGGACTCACAGAGGCAGCAACGCCTCTCCACCCTGCCCTGCTCGTCCTGCCCGTCCTAACGCAGCATCGAAGGACGTCATTCATTCCTTTTCGCGCTCTGCTCGTCCTGCTCCTGCTTCCACCGTTCCCTCTGCTCCCCTCCTGCCTCCCATGCGTTCCTCTCTTCCCCCCGCCGCTCCCACCATCTCTCCTCTTCCCTCGCCCTCTCCAACCACTCTCCCGTCTCCCCTCTCTCCCTGCCTGGCCCCGCTTTCCAGTCTCCCCCTCCTGCTCCTCTCTCCCCTCCCCCTGCTCGCCTCTCCCCTCATGCCATTCCTCTCGCCCCGCTCTCCCCGCTACCCCCTCCCTCTGGCTACCCCTGCCGTGTGTGCGGAGCTCTGTTTGCCTCGGGCCTGCCCTGGGAGGGCATATGAGGAGGCACCTGAGTGGGGGATTCGAGGCAGGGGGGAAGGCGGACAGGGGAAGATGGGTGGATGAGCCAGGGGCTGGGACAATCATCCATATGCTGGAGCAGAAAGGGCGCGAGGGGAGGGACGGGCAGGAGGGAGGTCTAGTCTGGGTGGGAGGGAGGAGCAGCAGGTGCAGGTGGGGTGCGAGTGGGGTGGCAGGGTGGGAGAAGCTTCAGGTGCAAATGCGGTGCCTCGCAACAATCGGCTTCTGCTGCAGCACCGCAGTGCCGATGCTGAACGAATCGCCATGATGGCTCAGGAGATTTCAGAGGCACCTCGGAGAGCAGGTGTGGATGGCACGGGCACGGTGCCTCGGGTGATGGGTTCTGGTTCCGTGCGTTCATTCTCACTTTCCCGCAGGCCTTCCCTTGTGCTGGCTAGGGGCTACTCGTTAACTCGTGCTGACGTGGCATGTGAGCAGGGCAGCAGCAGAATCTGCAGCACCACAATCAGCAACAGCAGCAGCAGCTGCCACAGCAACCTCAGCGGATAGTGAGTGCTATGCTGAGCCAAGTGCAGGCAGCGCAGCGGAAGAGGACTTATTCCGATGCGATGCAATGGGTTGATGTGAATAAGCAGATGGAGGAGAGCGAGGAAGCAGCCAAAGAGGGGTGTAAGCGGCGTGCACGAGTGCTGTGTATCCCGTCAGTGTTGCCCCAGCTTGTTTCCACACAATTTGGGTCAACAAAGGTTGCTCTTGTGAACAAACCTCGCTGGTTGCTACGCGTGTTTCACTTGAGCGAGTGCATAGCCTGCCAGCCATACAGATAAAGGATCACCGAGTCAAATCCTCATGCAAGGCCATTGCCATGCAAGAAATTGATTTGTCATTGCATCTTTGAGTTACACTAATTGTGATTACACTTATTGTAGGCACATATGTTCAGACCTTCCAATCTGCGGCTGGATTACATGACGAGAAGGAGGTATCCCAAAACCGCGTACGAAAAGGAGTCCACGTGGACAAAAGTGAATCGTTGATGCCTTTTCGGGGCAAAGTTAGATATCACGAGAGTGGTTCCTCACCGACCATTTTGTATTGCGTTGCGGGACTCCGATTTCGCCAACTGCCATATCGGTTACCCTCACAGGGCAGATATTTTTGTTCGCGAGGGATCCATTTCGCAGGCACGTTTCACCTTGCCCTGTCGTCAAGCCTCATTCATGAACGGAATCCACTCATTGCTCTCCCATTTGCTGGCACTCGCACATGCACCGAACAGCCGGACCTTCATTGCTTCAAGGACAACTGAACAAACCACTGCTTCTCGCCTTTGCCTCATTTGTACTACCGTCTCACCTTCATCCTGCAATTTAGTCAGTCGTTGATTCCACCGAGCAGTGCCCTAACCTTCGTACTAATAACAATCGCCGTAAGGATTCTGCCTGCTTCCAGTCTATTCATACCTGTGTAACTCGTTCAAATTCCTACCCTGGCCATGGCTGCTCTTGCAATCACCACCCTTGTAAGCGCATCGCTGTTCAGTGCTCCACGGCAGCACACAGCCTTGAACGCCCGGTCTGCTAGTACGAAGAGCATCAGCAAGTCCGTAGCCTTCCGATTTCAGAAACGCCTCTCCGCCGTTCGATGCAGCGCTGGAGGTAGGCTACTCCCTGTTTCTATCCTGACAATCACACAAACCCATCTCCCGCCACATTCTCAAGCTTCTCGTCATCGCGCTTATAGCGTCCTCGTACAGTTGCTGACATATTGTTCCTGAATTGTTCCGTTGCAGGAGCGACCGCAACTCCGGCGGCTCCGTCCGTAGTTCCGGCAATTACGCTATCTGAGAAGGCTCTGGCGCATCTGACCAAGATGCGCGCCGAGCTGAACAAGGATCTGCTGCTGCGCATTGGCGTGAGACAAGGTGGCTGCTCTGGCTTCTCATACGTGATGGATTTCGAGGAGCGAGCCAACATCCAGGAAGGCGACTCTATCGTGGACTACCAAGGCTTCTCTATGGGTGCGTATTTCTGTATCTGTTTCGGACCTCTGTTGCTGTCGCGACTCGCTATATCTTACCCGCTTCCTTTTTTTTCCTAGTGATCTGTGATTTTCTGTGCCAGCTACTTCACATTCTTCTCGTGTTTGCATTCGCCCTGGCAGTGTGCGATCCCAAGAGCCTTCTCTTCTGTTCGGCATGCGGCTAGACTACAGCGATGCTCTCATTGGGGGTGGCTTCTCATTCAGCAACCCTAATGCTTCCTCTACCTGTGGATGTGGCAAATCATTTGCTGCGTAGACCTGGATCCTAACATGTACATATATACAATATATTGTACCGATTTATTGTTGAATTTATTCGTAATTCAGAACTAGCTACTTCAGCTGGTTGCTCCTGTCTTCCATTTGGGGTAGCTTGCCCTGAAGTTCCTTCGGCTGTCATTACCAGATCTTACTTTGTCAGACATCCCGTAAGCAGGATTAAATAACATGTCTTACCAAAACTTGGCGGTAGTAGATTTTCCCGTATCGTGACCTGTCACAAGATTCCACTTAGCTCGAAAATTGTGCTGGAAAGTAAGTGAGACGGTTTTGCCGAGTAGCGCATCTCACTTAAACCGCAGTGAACTAAAAATCTGATGCCTTCTGGAGACCTCCAGTCAGACCAGCTGTACAGCATGTCATAACCAGAAGTCTACACGTGTACAATCCACGTATACACGCTTCCTCTGACATGGACGAAATCTCCCCACAATTTCTTGTAACTCACGCATCCTGAAATTTCCCGAATTTTGGCTGGATGCTTGGTGCTCTCGGCCTCTGGGAACGATCCTTGAAGTTCACCATTCTGGAGCTCTATGCACCGTTTTGGATCATTGCGCACCAGAGATAACCATACAAGAACTGATCTGTACACAGACAGATCCACAGATGCGCACTGAGTTCGTCATTTTCCTGCACCACCATGCAGCTGCTTCAAAAAGGTACTTCCGAGATCACATTTTCACTGACATCGGAATTCCCAAGGTTTGCATAAGACTCGCACCGTCTGTGGAACGCTCTAGGCAGCACCCAGCACTTACTCACAGACAGCTCTCCCGCTAGGTCGAGTATCTGGTGTCAGTGAGCACAATGGAACTTGGCCTATCCCAAGTCGCGTTCCGCGCTGCTCCCCCGGGGTCGTGCGTTCAGCATTCGCCTTTTTCACGACAACCCAGCTCAGCTCTCCAGTTTCCTCGTGTGCTTCCCTTATTCAACGCTCATCCACGTCGCACCATGGCAGCTCAGCCAACCTCCGCGTCCTGCCTTCTGGCAAGAACGCATTGCGTACAAAGAGCTTAGCGGCAATTTAGAGGCGTAGGCGTCCGCGGTGTCCGCGGCACTTCGTCCCCGCGTCGCCTAGCCACGGGTCTATGCGACCAGCTCCCCGCGTCCCAGTGTCAGCAGCAGCGTAGCTTCTAACGAGGATGGACTCGTTAATGGTCGGAGGTCGGACGACGAGACCAAAGCGCACGACGAGGCGATCGTTCCGCGGAAACCCGTGCTGCGAGTCACTCGATCAGCTTGACCGGAATCTCTCATCAATGTCACCATCAGAAGCCCCATGGACAACCCTGATCCACCGCCTCGCCTTCTGGCGGTCGCATCTGAGCCATCAATTCCACCTCCCGGAACCATCCGACATCCTCAGGGAAGCCGGCCGGCTGTTCGTGTCGCTGGCCGTCAGCGCCGTGCTGCTGACGTCCGTCAGCGCGCCGGCGACGGCCATCGTGCAGGCACCGCCGCGCAAGCTGATGCCGGACGAGCAGGCGACGGTGCAACTATTCAACGAAACGACACCGAGTGTCGTTTATATCACGAATCTGGCCGTTCGGAGGGACGTGTTTACACTTGACGTGATGGAGGTGCCGCAGGGGTCCGGATCGGGGTTTATTTGGGACCGCGAAGGCCACGTGGTGACGAACTACCACGTGATTCGCAACTCCAGCGACCTGCGGTGAGTCAAGTCAAGTCAAGTCAATTTAAGTCAAGTTAAGTTGAAGAAGTCAGGTGAGGGAGGGCCCGTTTGTGTGTCTACACTGGTTCTTGGAACGCTGCACAGAAGAGGAAAGTCTGAAGTACGACTAGTGTGAAACTTGAACGTCAACCACTAATGCGACCATGAACGTCATTCACTAGTGTGACTTGGACTCGAGAGATCTTGAACATACAACCACTTGTGTGACCTCGAACGTCAACTGCTAGTGTAACGTCCCTCCCAGGCACAGCGCCAGCATGCCATCATGCGATGCATGCCATGCCCAGCGGTGGCACATTGTGTCCTTCACCTTCGCCGCTCTCTCCTCCTTCTTATTGTGCTCCCAACAGTGTAACACTGGCGGACCAATCAGTGTACGCGGCTGACGTGGTGGGGTACGACCGTGACAAGGACGTGGCAGTGCTGCACATCGACGCGCCTAAGAGCAAGCTCAGGCCGCTGCGAGTGGGCAGCTCGTTTGACCTGCAAGTGGGGCAGCGCGTCTACGCCATCGGGAACCCCGTGAGTGTGCTGTGTGCGGTTACCAGGTAACCAGGTGAAGAGTGCAACGAGTAACCTGAGTGTGCTGTGTGGTAACCAGGTGAGAATGGTAATAGTTATGCAATGTCCAGGTTGATATGGTACTGTGCCTTGTCGGATGTGCATGTGTGCCGCACCCTTCCCCCTTCCTGTGTGGCCTTACCGCCTGCCATGCCATGATGGGGACGTCTTGTTTAAGCGCTTGTGCTTATGAAGCTAGCTTTGATTTGACTCAAAACGCATCCTGTGCCACATGGCATGGCACGATGGAGGCATCATGCATGTCATCATGTATTCATCATCACCGCTCCACTATGCTTCCTCCCCTTGCCCCCTTCCCTCCCAACGCGTGCTCGCTTGTGCAGTTCGGTTTGGACCATACCCTCACCACAGGCGTGATCAGGTACGTTTAACACATATGGCATGGAATGCATCACAACCGTCCCCCCCTGCTGCAGCCATGAACTCGGTCCTTTGTCTGCCTGCCTGTCTGTTTGTCTGTTTGTTTCCCCGTTTCATTGCTTCTTGGTGTGTTCATGTTCAGTGCGAAACAACGATGCGACTCTGACAAATGCAGCAACCATTCCAGCTCCTCTCTTTCCTCACATACCCAAACATCTCCTCCCGTCCTCACAGCGGGCTGAGGAGGGAGATAAGCAGTGCAGCAACAGGCCGGCCCATCCAGGACGTGATACAGACAGACGCAGCTATCTACTTATGCAACAGCTGCTCTGCCCGTCGCAACAACCATGTGCTTGTTGTTGATGCATTCCCATTCCCACTCCTCCCATTCCCCATTCCACAGTGGGCTGAGGAGGGAGATCAGCAGTGCAGCAACGGGGCGGCCCATCCAGGACGTGATACAGACAGATGCGGCCATCAACCCGGGCAACAGCGGGGGGCCGCTGCTGGACTCCAACGGCAACCTCATCGGCATCAACACTGCCATCTACTCGCCCTCTGGCGCCTCCTCTGGCGTCGGCTTCTCCATTCCCGCTGATACGGTTAGTCACTGCAGTGCCTTGAGTGCCTTGTGTGCTATGTGCGGCCCAGATAGCATAGTGGAGCAGATAATCAAGTATGGGCAGGTCACGCGCCCAGTGCTGGGCATCTCTTGAGTCGACTCAAAATTCCCTCCTTTTCACCCTTCGCCCCTCCCCTTGCTTCCACGCTCGGCAGGTGGCGGGCATAGTGGAGCAGATAATTAAGTACGGGCAGGTCACGCGGCCAGTGCTGGGCATCTCCTTCGCCCCCGAGCAGTCCTTGGAGCAGCTGGGCGTGGCTGGGGTGCTTGTGCTCGATGCTCCCCCCTCCGGCCCTGCAGGGAAAGCGGTGAGTGCATTACACCAATCAGCGCACATTGAGTTTCTCCAGGCACCTGAGACACGCGGCGAGTGCTGTGCATCTCCGTCGCCCCTGAGGGCCTCGTGCTTCAAGAAAATACACAACGCCAGAGTGGTTGTGGCCGGTACTGGCAGCATTGCGGAAGTGTCCTAAGCTCAACTGATGGAGGGCCTTCTGGTGTGTGTGTGTGTGTGTGTGTGTGTGTGTGTGTGTGTGTGTGTGTGTGTGTGTGTGTGTGTGTGTGTGTGTGTGTGTGCGGTGGTGTGTGCAGGGCATCCGGCCAACGACTCGGGACAGCTACGGGCGGCTGGTGTTGGGGGACATCATCACGGGCATTGATGGCAACATCGTTCGCAACGGCTCGGACCTCTACCGCATCCTAGACCGCTGCAAGGTTGGCCAGAAGGTGAGCTGCCCGGAAACTCCAGCACTGAGTTCAAACTTGTTGCAATTCTAGTTTTTATACGTACATTGTATAACAAATATTGTTTCTAATGTTTGTCGCTTTTGCTGTGGTTGTAGGTGGAGGCACGAGTGTTGAGAGGAGACAACGAAGTTACAATCACAATTACCTTGGAAGGGAAGAGCTGAGACTGTTTCTTACCGCATATAAGCTGTATTCTGCAATGTAGTATATGCTATAAAAACAGATGTAGATGTCCCTTCAGCGTTTTGGGGGTTAGAATGTTGGGTGCAATTCAGCAGTTTCTATTACATATCAGGTCACCTGTTTTTGAAATCATTGCCCTTTGAAGAACCAGTTTTGATTCGTCGAACCGTAACGGACAGCGTTTGTATCGGATATTCTGACTCAAAGCAAGCCGCAAGCAACTTGTGCTGTGTCAAACAAGCAACACTGCAGCCCAGACAAGTAGCAGAGCAGAGCCGTGGAATGGCAATTGCACAGCTTCGTTCACCGCGCGAGCACCTTCACGGGGACTACTGAATTTGGATTCTCACAGTAAACGTTGCGTAGAGAATTGAATTAGACCGAACTGCTCGTCGCTCGCGCGTGTAGGAACGGACCGATGGTGCTCATGATCCAGACTATCAGTTAAGCTTACTGATGCTCCTTCACTCACAGCCAGCATGAATCAGGATTCGTCCTACGTCGCATGGATCGATCGCCGTTCGATCCTCCTCTTCGTCGCCGCCGTCTCCGCCGGCGTCGCTGCCGGCGCGACGGCAGCGGTGACGGCGACGGTGTTTCCGTACTCGCTGGGGCTACTGATCGGCATGCTCCGCACCAATGACGGAAAGAAAGAAGCTAAGACCACTAAGACTAAAGAGAAGACGACTAAAAAGGCCGGCACGAGCTGTAGTAGTATCATCAGCGGCGGCGGAAATATCACCGCGAGCGGCGGGTACGGCGTGGGGCCGCTGACGAAGGAAGGGCAGCTGCATCGAGATGTGGTCATGAGCGCTGTTATCGAATCATCCGCGTTACAAGTCTCCTTCGACTCGTTTCCGTACTATCTCAGGTCTGCTCGCAGACCCGCGCAAGCGAGGGAAGGGAGGGAATTCAGGGTTATTACCCCCCTGCCGTGCGACATGTGGTTCTGACCGTTGCTGCAAGGGTCATTTCTCCCTGACCATCGCGGATCGTTCCTGGCCGTTGCAGTGAGGTCAGACTGCCAGTAGTAGGACTGGCCTATCGCATACGGAGGTCTTCGACTGGCAGAATTCTGTCAGTTTGCCCATGCGCGCTGTTCCGTGTTGGCAACGTGCTTCATCCGCCCTCCCCTGCCGATCTCCCCCGTTCCCCCCGTTCTCCCCCCCTCCCTCCCCCCTCGCCTCTCCCCCCTCGTGGCAGCGATGCCACGCGCAACGCGCTGGTGGACGCGTGTTTCATCCGCCTGCGCCGCCCCGAGTTCCTGCGCTTCACCGCTGACCTCCCATCACTCTCCGCGCGCATCCTCCTCTCCGGCCCCCCAGGTCCTTCCTCTCCCCCTAGATTCCTTTGTCCGCCCCCAGCTCTCACACTCGTAGTTTCCCTGTCTGTAATGCGTTCAGCGAGGACAATTGTATGAGCTTATGTGGGTGTGATCTATCACTCTCGTGCCTGGTCTGGGTGACTTTCGAGTCAACTCAAAAGTGACCACTATCACTTTCCTGCCTGGTCTGGTTATTGTGTATCATACATAACGAGTTGGTCCATCCAGCTGTTTTGCTTCCGTGTCTGCGCCTGTGTGCGAGGCAAACCGCATGACTGCCCATCACTCACAACGCTGACCCTGCCTTGTTTGTTCCCGCGCACTACCGAACCTGTTGCAGGCTCGGAGCGGTACCAGGAGCAGCTGGTTCGGGCGCTGGCTCGGCACCTGGATGCAAAGCTTCTGATCTTTGATCTTCCCAACATGCTGCTGCAGGTATGAAATGCATGCTGCTGCTGGTGCAGGTATGGCTGGTCCAGGTATGGCTGGTCCAGGAATGGCTAGTGCAGGTATGGCTGGTCCAGGTATGTCTGGTCCAGGTATATCTGGTCGAAATATGGTGCGGCTGGTGCAGGTATGGCTGGTTCAGGTATGGCTGGTCTACGTATGGTTGGTGCAGTTACAGCTTTTACAGGTGCCTAACGAATTGGCTTGTATCTCATGCTCCGTGCAACACAGGTGGCTCTGGCAACCAAGTCAGGCGGTGCTTTGCCTCAAGCTCTCACCAGTGGAGCAACATTGGCATTGGCATCAGAACCAGCGCTGGCATCAGAATCGGCATCAGCATCCACATCAGCAGCAGGAGTGGCGGCAACAGCAGCAGTGGCGCAGGAGTCAGCTGATACGGTGACAGGGTCCTGTGTGAGTGCTGAGACTGGGGCCGCAACAGGAGCGGGAGTAGGGAGGAGGGGGAAGGTGGAGGAGAGGGCACAGAGGGAGGTGCGGGGGAGAGGGGTGCTGGGGATGCAGCAGAGGCAAGTCAGGGAGAGGAGGCGGAGGAGGAAGAGGAGGCCGAGGGCGAGGAGGGGAGGCAAGGAGAGGGCGGTGCAGTGAGGGAAGAGGGGGCGGGAGAGACAGGGGCGTCAGGGGAGGCACAAGTCGCTGGTCCCACGAGTGAGGCTGCAGGGGGGGAACAAGTATCCGGGGGGGGGGATGAGGGAGGTGGTGACGGGGAAGGGGGTGATGGGGGAGAGGGGGAATCCGCCCTGGCTGCTGATGTGGAGAGCGATGGGCCTGCTGACGTGGCGTCAGGGGAGCTGGAGCTGGCAGATGGAATGGATGAGGGACAGGGGGGAGAGAGGGCGGAGGCGCAGGGGGAGGGGGAGAGGGTGGAGAGAGAAGGGGAAGGCGCGGAGAGGGAAGAAGCTGAGAGGGAGGGCGGGGGAGCTGGGGGGGAGGCAGGAGGGCTGCAGAGTGTGCCGTGTGTGCACGGGGCAGGTGGTGTTTGCACTGATCTGCCTGCCTATGGTTGCAGCAGCAGCAACATCGCTGCCAGTGCTGTCATTGCTGCGTGCAGCACAGTTTCCCATCCTCCTGATCCGGCTGCTCCTAGCGCCACTCCACCTGCTGCCCCCTCGTCTGCTCTTTCTGCGTCTACTGCTGCTAGCAGCACGTGCGAGGAGGCGGAGCAGAGCGGCGCTGCTGCTGGTCCTTCTCCCAGCACGCAGCCGGACAGCATACTGCCCCCCACCACTGCACACACTGGTACCACCCACACCAGCAGTGCTACTGGTGACGATGGCAAGCACACTAAACCGGATAAGGAGGAGCAGGAGGGGCAGCAGGGCAGCAGCACCGCGAGGTAAACGCAGCAGTGGGGGTGCGGGAGGAGGGAAAGGCGGTGTGGATCTGCGAGCAGTGAAGCTGAAGGATCTCTCCTCCTCGCTCATCCCCCGCTCCCACCACTCCAAGTCCTCTTTATCCTCCTCGTCCTCCCATAAGAAGAAGGGCAGCAGCAAGGGTTCTAAGGGCTCAACGAGGGATGGAGGGGGTGAGGGGGACAGTGTTGGGAAGGGCGGGAGCAAAGAGGAGGCGGGGAGTGGGGCAGCGGTGGCAGGTACAGGGCACAAGGCGAAGAGCAAGGGGGAGAAGGAGAAGGAGGGTGCTGGAAGCGAGGGGAAGAAGAGCAGCGAGAGTGCGGAGGGGTCAAAGAAGGGCTTTAAGAAAGGTACACTGAATGAGCGCCCTATGTATGGTCAAGGCAGTAGTCTCCTTGTGTGCTTGTCTTTTTTGGATCTCTTGTGCTAAGAAATTTAAATGCTTCATTGCATTTTCTGCCCTGCTTATTTGATAAAACAATTGCCCTCTTTCGCCCCTCACCCAGGGATTGAAGTGTGAATTACCTTTCTGAACCATGGTCCTATCATCTGCCTGCTCCACCCTCCCGCCCCCACCCCTGCCCCTCTCTCCCTCCTCTTCCCCGCCCCAATATCTTGATTCGCCCCCACCATCCCCGCCCCCAGGCGACAGAGTGCGCTACATGGGCCCGCCCTCGCTCTCCTCTGCTGCACCCCCACCGCCATCGGCCTCACTTCTGCCACCCTCCATGTCAGTATTCGAGCCTCTTCCACTTCCCACTCGTTCCACTTCCCTCTCGCTCGTCCCTCCTCTCCCCTGTCTCTCCCACCACACTCTCCACTTCTGCACCCCCACAGTCCTCTGCCTCGCTTCTGCCACCCTCCATGTCACTATTCGGGCCTCAGACACACTGTCCCTCGCTCTCCCCCTTGCTCCTCCCGCTCCCTCTGCTTCATCAGTCACCAATTCCTCCTCCCTCTCGCACATCTGACTCCCACGCTCATGCTCACGTGCTTGCTCTTCTGTTTGCGCGGCGCCATTCGGCCAACCCCTCCTGTTTGCCCACCGCCGCGCCATTCAGCCAACCCGTCCTCTCCTGTTCGCCCACCGCTGCCCCTATGCTCCTCTCCTCCACACCGAGCAGCCGAGCGCTTTGGCAAGTCCATCATCCCTGTGCGTCTCTCCAAGCCCCCTCGCAATACACTCCCTGCCCTTAACTCATTTCAGGTGCAGCCCCCCAGTGGGGTTGAAGGGCCGTGTGGTGATGGTGCTGGAGGGGAACCCCCACCGCATGGGCGTGCGCTTTGACAAGCCCATTCCTCTGCCTGCCTGCTACCCCCGTCCCCACTCAATGCATTCCTTTTCCTCGTTGTGCATCCTCCTCACTGCACAGGCGCGGTCCACTAGTGGGGTTGAAGGGCCGTGCGGTGGTGGTGGTGTTGGAACAAAACCCCACCGAGCGGGTATGCGGCTTGACAAGCCCATTCCTGCCCCTCCGCTCTTTTCCCTCCCCTGCATGCACCCCGTCCCTTCGATTCCCTCATTGCAGGCGCGGCCCACCAGTGGGGTTGAAGGGGCGCGTGGTGGTGGTGCTGGAGGAGAACCCCCACCGCGTGGGCGTGCGCTTTGGCAAGCCCATCCCTGTGCCTGCCTCCCTGCAATCGCCCTTCCCCACTCAATGCATCTCCTTCCCTTGCCGTGCGCCCCCACTGCAGGCGCGGCCCGCCAGTGGGGTTGAAGGGGCGCGTGGTGGTGCTGTTGGAGGAAAACCCCCTCCGAGTGGGAGTGCGCTTTGACAAGCCCACCCCTCTGCCTCCCTCCCAGCAACCCTCGTCCCCATACAATGCGTTCCCGTAACTCACTGCAGGCGCGGCCCGCCAGTGGGTCTCAAGGGGCGGGTGGTGTTGTGGTGGTGCTGGAGGAGAATCCACACCGCGTCGAATGGTTGAATGGGGGCGATGGTTGAATGGGGGCGATGGTTGAATGGGGGCGATGGTTGAATGGGGACGATGGTTGAATGGGGGGATGGGCGATGGTTGAATGGGGGCGATGGTTGAATGGGGGCGATGGTTGAATGGGGGCGATGGTTGAGTGGGGGCGATGGTTGAGTGGGGGCGATGGTTGAATGGGGGCGATGGTTGAATGGGGGCGATGGTTGAGTGGGGGCGATGGTTGAGTGGGGGCGATGGTTGAATTGGGGCGATGGTTGAATTGGGGCGATGGTTGAATTGGGGCGATGGTTGAATTGGGGCGATGGTTGAATGGGGGCGATGGTTGAATGTCCAGGCCGGGCCCTCCGGTGGGGTTGAAGGTCCGTATGGTATGGTGGTGGTGGTGTTGGAAGAAAACCCCCATCGTGTGGGTGTGCGCTTTGACAAGCCTATTCCTGCCCCTCCGCTCTCTTCCCTCCCCTGCACGCACCCCGTCCCTTCGCTTCCCTCACTGTAGGCGCGGCCCGCCAGTGGGGTTGAAGGGGCGCGTGGTGGTGCTGTTGGAGGAAAACCCCCACCTTGTGGGAGTGCGCTGTGACAAGCCCACCTCTCTGCCTCCGCTCTCTTCCCTCCCCTGCATGCACCCCGTCCCTTGCTTCCTACACCTGCCCCTGCTGTGCCTCCTCTCTGCAGGCGCGGCCCACCAGTGGGGTTGAAGGGGCGCGTGGTGGTGCTGTTGGAAAACCTGCACCGAGTGGGCGTGCGCTTTGACAAGCCCATCCTTCTACGGCCTACCTCCTTCAACCCCTTTCCCCACTCAGTTCAGTCCCTTGTCTTGTTGTGCTGATCATTCCAGGCGTGGCTTCCCAGTGGGGCTCACGGGCCGCGTGGTGGTGGTGTTGGAGGAAAACCTGCACCGAGTGGGCGTGTGACAAGCCCATCCCTCTGCCTCCGCTCTCTTCCCTCCCCTGCATGCACCCCGTCCCTTCGCTTTCCTCACTGCAGGCGCGGCCCACCAGTGGGGCTCAAGGGGCGCGTGGTGGTGGTGCTGGAGGAGAACCCCCACCGTGTGGGTGTGCGTTTCGACAAGCCCATCCCGGGCGGCAACAGCCTGGTGGATGTATGCGACGATGGGCACGGCGCGTGGTGCCACGGTAGGTTGCTTGACCTGTGAGCGGTAGATATTGATGCATACAAGTGCGTGGTTCTTGCTGTGAGAGGAGATCTGACAAGCCCATCCAGGGCGGCAACAGTCTGGTGGACGTGTGTGACGAGGGGCATGGGGCATGGTGCCATGGTAGGTAGGCCGGCTCTTGACGGTTAGATATTGAGGCGCACATGTGCGTGGTTCTCAGTGTGGGAATAGATCTGCCAAGCCCATTTCCCATTCTTGAGTCGCGGGAGCTGCGGCAAGAGGGGGCGGGATTGGGGCGAGTCAAACCCTCTCTCTGCACGCCAACCCCCACTTCCTCATCCCCTCCCACCACCTGTGCCACGTGGCAGTGTCAGAGCTGCGGCTGGAGGGAGCAGCAGCAGACGACGCGGAGAAGCAGCTGGTGGACCACTGCATGGCGGTGAGTGGGGTCAGTCAGTCAGGGCATGGCGGTGAGTGGGAGCATGGGGTCAGGGCATGGCGGTGAGTGGGAGCATGGCGGTGAGTGGGAGCATGGCGGTGAGTGGGAGCATGGGGGTGAGTGGGAGCATGGGGGTGAGTGGGAGCATGGCGGTGAGTGGGAGCATGGCGGTGAGTGGGAGCATGGCGGTGAGTGGGAGCATGGGGGTGAGTGGGAGCATGGGGGTGAGTGGGAGCATGGGGGTGAGTGGGGGAATAATGGTGTGATGGCAGTGAGTGATGGTGACAGGAGTCCATTGTTGACCCACCTCACAAGCAGAGCAGACGAAATGGAGAAGCAGCTGGTGGATCACTGCATGGCGGTGAGTGGGTGACTGTCAGTGAGGGGATGAGTGGGAGCATGTTGGCGGAATGGCAGTGTTTGATGGCCAGAGGTGTCCGTTACGGAGGCGCCTCACAAGCAGAACAGGCAATGTGGAGAAGCAGCTGGTGGATCACTGCATGGCGGTGAGTGGGTGGGTGGGGTGGGGGTCAGTGGGTGGGTGGGGGCATGTTGGCGTGATGGCAGTGTGGGTGATGTTCAGTGGATTCCATAAGCAGACAAAGTGGAGAAGCAGCTGGTGGACCATTGCATGGCGGTCAGTGGGGGTCAGCATTCCTGAGGTTGCTGCGAATGATCTGTATTCTAGTTTTGAGTCGACTCAAAAGCAGATCTGTATTCTAGTTGAAAACCCCTCCCATCTTCATCCCACAAGCATCTACGCATGGCGGTGGCTCGTATAAGAGGCTAATTGAAGAACCCCTCCCATCTTCATCCCATTTTCTCCCATGCCTTGTGTGGCAGGTGGCAGCCACCGTAGCAGCAACATCGCCTCTCATCGTTTTCATCCCAGGCGCGGATAGAATCGCAGCGGCACACTATGAGAGGCTTGTTAGACTGGAGCGCATGGAGCGGTTGGGAGTGGTGGGGGAGAGAAGCGCGGAGAAAGGAGAGAAAGGGGAGAAGGGGGAGAAAGGGAAGGAGGGAAAGGAGGTGAAGGAGAACAGTGAACCGCTGCGGTTGGTGGTGATTGGCTCTCACACAGTGCCACCCAAGAAAGACAAAGTGGGTGGCAGCCGTGCATGGCATGACACAGCAGCCATCCATGATGATGTGGCATGACACAGCAGCCATCCATGATGATGTGGCATGACATGGCGCATGGAATGTCATGGCAGGCATGCATTACGCGGCCTGACATGGCGAATGGCAAGGGCATGTGGTGTGTGTGCAACATCCGCATCTTTCCACCAGACCAGCACCTCTTGTTCCTTCACCCGTCGCCTCAGCCCCATCCCTACCTGCGTACTCCACCCTGCTTGCCCCTCGCCTCACTCAACCTCCACTCGCTCTCTCTCCCAAAGCTTCTTTTCGTTATGCTCTATCACCACAGCTCCCTCCAAGCGTTTCAAACTCACTCAAAGCGACTCTGCTTGACCTACTCTCCTCCCTGCAATCTTTCTTCCCATCCCACCACCTGCCCTCGCGGTGCTGTGCCCGTCCACCCCTACCAGGCGCCAGCAGCGGCAGCAGCCCCCAAGACCACAGACAAGCTCTCTGCTCTCCTCGACCTCTCCTTCCTGGTACGCCCATGCCACATACCAGCCCGCCCCCACATCCACTGCCCACGGGCGGAGCTGCAAAGGCCCGTCATGTGGCGCAGCTTCGATTTCGACCCACCCTTATGCGCCCTCCCTGGTTCATCTTTGAAAAGGCCCCCTCTTACTCCTCCCGTACCTCAGGACCAGCTCTCCTCACGGCTAGAGGACGGGCGCGGGGAGGGCGGGGGGGGCGGGCCAAGGTGGGCAGCAGGGCCCTCATGATAATAATGGAGCTCAACTGATTGATTAGGAAAGAAGGCACTAGGCCTTAAGTACAAACGAGGTTGGGATGGGCAAGGCTAGGGAAAGGATGGGATGGGAATCCTAGCAAATCTCCAATTGGTGAGTTGGCAGATTTGCAGGATTACGAGGGAATCCCAACCAGATAGGGTTGGGATCACAAACTACACCCAACCCGCAAATAACCTACGCGATATAGAATATAGTACACAAAGTGTTGACAGCCTAATTCTAACACCTCATGCCTCTACCTCATATTCTTTCCTCTTCCCATTCCTCACCTCAGGACCAGCTTTCATCGCGGCTAGAGGATGGGCGCGGGGAGGGTGGAGGGGCCAAGGCGGGCGGCAGGGCGGTGACTCGCATCTTCCCCACGTCCATCCCGGTGCTGCCGCCCGCACAAGATGATGACGTGGCGCAGCGTGATTGGGCGAGGCAGCTGGAGGGTGACGTGGAGCTGATGCGCGCTGAGAGCAACCGCCGCCTGCTTAGATCGGTGGGTGGAGTGCGGTGGTGAATGGTGGGGTGTGGCGCGGGTGGTGATGGGTGGTGGGGTGTGGTGATGGGTGGTCGGGTGTGGTCAATGGTGTGTGGCCAGCTAACCATATGGCCGGCTTACCTCCGTCTCCTCCGTCCACTGCTACCCGATCCGAAATACCTGATCCAATCGCATGCATTTGACTTTTGAGTCGACCCAAAAGTCCCCTCCATCCAGAGCAACCGGATCCGAAACACCTGATTCATTCACATGCATTTGACCCTGCTGTATGAATGCACATTTTGTACATGTGAGCAGGTGATGTGCACAGCAGGAGTGGAGTGTGCAGACATTGACAGACTCTCCATCGCCTCCCACTCTCTTCCCCAGGAGGGTAAGACAACTATCGCCGCACACCTTTCCTTCCTATCCATATACTGGAAAAACGTGTACTTCACATCTTGGTTTTCAACGCAAAATTCTGCTTTGGTTTCAAAGCATAAGTCTGCTCAATTCCCTTTGAATGTATGCTCCCATCATCAGGTGCGGAGCGCATGGTGGGGTGGGCCATGAGCCACCAGCTATAATGGATCATGCATATACATGCTTGCCTTTATTCCATGTCTACACACCCAATCTGCTTGTGCATGCGTTATCCCGTCATCAGGAGCGGAGCGCATGGTGGACGGGCCGTAAGCCACCAGCTGCAATAAATCATGCATGTTTGTGCATGTGCATGCATGTTGCCAGTCCAGTCCATGTCTGCACACCTACTGTGCCCATGCCCGTGTGTGTGTGTTAACCCATGATCAGGTGCGGAGCGCATGGTGGGGTGGGCCATAAGTCACCAGCTGCAGCACAGCCCGCAAGTCGACATGCCGGCTGCCCGCCTCCCCCTCTCGCTCTCCAGGTCTGCTGCACCTGTTGTTACCCTGTCACCCACTCGCCGTTCACCCTGTCACCCACTCGCCGTTCACCCTGTCACCCACTCGCCGTTCACCCTGTCACCCACTCGCCGTTCACCCTGTCACCCACTCGCCGTTCACCCTGTCACCCACTCGCCGTTCACCCTGTCACCCACTCGCCGTTCACCCTGTCACCCACTCGCCGTTCACCCTGTCACCCACTCGCCGTTCACCCTGTCACCCACTCGCCGTTCACCCTGTCACCCACTCGCCGTTCACCCTGTCACCCACTCGCCGTTCACCCTGTCACCCACTCGCCGTTCACCCTGTCACCCACTCGCCGTTCACCCTGTCACCCACTCGCCGTTCACCCTGTCACCCACTCGCCGTTCACCCTGTCACCCACTCGCCGTTCACCCTGTCACCCACTCGCCGTTCACCCTGTCACCCTGTCTGTCCCCCTGTCCCCTGTCCCCCTTCCCCCTGTCACCTTGTTACTCTGTTACTCTGCCCGATAGCACTTGCATGCATGCATCTTCCATTGAGTTAAGCTGTGCGCATGTGTCGTACCGATGGTGGCAACTCTTGCTGTTGTCACATTCACCCGACCTGCTCCTTTGTTGCTGCTATGCATACGCTGACTCTCTTTTGCAATCACCCCCGGGCGGCAGTATTCGGCACGGAGTGGAGGTGGTGGAGGGAGCATCTCAGCAGCAGCCAGCCACACAGCGCAAGGCGCTCAAGGTGGGCTTTAAGGCGCTCAAGGTGGGCTTTAAGGCGCTCAAGGTGGGCTTTAAGGCGCTCAAGGTGGGCTTTAAGGCGCTCAAGGTGGGCTTTAAGGCGGGCTCTAGGGCGGCGGTGTTTGACACGGACGGACGTCATTGTTTCAGCCCTCAAGTTCTGAACTCAAGCGGTGCATGCTCAGCTCAAGCGCTCAAGCTGTCAAGCTCAAGCGCTCTGAACTGAGCATTCAGCTCATCACAGTGCTGCCCAACCCACTAGCCATTCCTCTCCTATCCATCTCTCATGATATGCACTGGTCTCATGCTGCCCACTCTCCCACCGTATCCCTTCCCTCGCACAACCCCTTCCACTTTATCTCAGGATGTGACGTGCGACAATGACTTTGAGCGGCTGCTACTGGGGGAGGTGATACCTGCGGAGGAGCTGGGCGTGCGCTTTGAGCACATCGGCGCATTGGAGGGCGTGAAGGAGGCTCTAAGAGAGGTCGTCATGCTGCCACTTCAGCGACCAGAGCTGTTTCAAACTGGCCAGCTCACTAAGGTATTTCTGTACACTGGTGGAGTTTTTCTTCAGATTTTGCCATATGTTGATCACGCAGTCGGTGCGCTGGAGGGCGTGAAGGAGGCTTTAAGTGAGGTGGTCATGCTGCCGCTGCAACGTGCTGAGCTCTTCCAAACGGGGCAACTCACCAAGGTATTCTTCATAAGGCTGTGCTGCACTTTCGTTCCCCCTTTTTCCCGCATGTTCCTTGACGCGCATCCCCTCCCTCCCAACCCAACCTCCCGGCTCACTCCTCCCTTCCCTGCCTCCCTTCCCTGCCTCCCTTCCCTGCCTCCCTTCCCTGCCTCCCTTCCCTGCCTCCCTTCCCTGCCTCCCTTCCCTGCCTCCCTTCCCTGCCTCCCTTCCCTGCCTCCCTTCCCTGCCTCCCTTCCCTGCCTCCCATTGCCCCAACCCCCATTTGCCCATTCTAGTCGCTCACGCCGCCCATCTCGCATTCCCATACCCCACTGCCACTATCATACAGGTTACCCCCTCGCTTCGACGCGACGCGTCACTCACTGTGCCCCACTCCCATTCGCCCACCTCCCCAATCACCCTCCTCCCCTCCAAACCGCCCCCAACAACCCCGCCCCCCACCAACCCCCCACAGCCGGTACGGGGGCTGCTGCTGTTTGGCCCACCGGGCACGGGCAAGACGATGCTGGGCAAGGCAGTTGCTACGGAGTCAGGGGCCAACTTCATCAGTCTTTCCATGGCCTCTGTTGCATCAAAGGTTCGTACCTCCCCTATCCTCCATGGGCTCTCTTCCTTTCCTTCTCTCTGTTCATCTCCTCGTGAACGTGTTAGTATAGCTGCTAATCTGATACATTCGCCCGACCTGCTAATTGTGCCACATTCCCTTGCCTTGCTTCTGTCTTCCTTTGAATGCCACGTCTCCGTCGCACCTCTGTTCTCTGAACTTTCACCCTTCTCCCTTTCCCCCTTCCCCCTTTTTCTCCCCCTTCCCCCTTTTTCTCCCCTCTTCCCCCTCTCACACCACCAGTGGTTCGGAGAGGCAGAGAAGTATGTGAAGGCCGTGTTCACGCTGGCCAGTAAAATTGCGCCATGTGTCATCTTCGTGGACGAGGTGAGTGAGTGGTTGAGAGAGTGAGTGGGTGGTTGGTTGAGTGAGTGAGTGATTGAGTGGGTGAGTGGGTGGTTGGGTGAGTGAGTGAGTGAGTGAGTGAGTGAGTGGGTGGTTGGGTGAATGAGTGAGTGGGTGGTTGGGTGAGTGAGTGAGTGGGTGGTTGAGTGAGTGAGTGAGTGGGTGGTTGGGTGAGTGAGTGAGTGGGTGGTCGAGTGAGTGAGTGGGTGATAGGGTGAGTGAGTGAGTGAGTGGATTGTCTGGTGAGTGAGTGGGCAAGATGAGGAAGCTCAGGACTGAGTTCATTACGGCATGGGACGAACTGCGCGCCAAGCCGGCCCACTATTTCCGTGTTCCCAGTTCAGCACTGCACTTCACCCCTTGTCACCGCTCCGTACTGCATGGCTGCTGTGTGCCTGCTGTGTCCCCCCTGTGCCCCCATCACCAGGTGGACAGCATGTTGGGGCGGCGAGGCGGGGATTCAGAGCACAGTGCAATGAGGAAGCTCAAGAACGGGTTTATGGCCGCATGGGACGGGCTGCGATCCAAGCAGGCGGAGCGCACTTCACCCCTTGTCACCACTCCATTGCTGCGTGCCTGCTGTTACCCTGCTATTCCCGCATCATCAGGTGGACAGCATGTTGGGGCGGAGAGGCGGCGACTCGGAGCACAGTGCAATGAGGAAGCTCAAGAACGAGTTCATGGCCGCATGGGACGGGCTGCGATCCAAGCAAGCCGAGCGCATCCTCGTGCTCGGCGCCACCAACCGCCCGCATGACTTGGATGATGCCGTCATCAGACGGTTCCCTAGAAGGTGGGTGCGGCACTGAGGTCATCAAGCGTTTCCCCATACCTGTTGGCTGCCTCCCAGCATCCAAGAAAGCCGAGCGTATTCTCGTGCCCGGCGCCACCAACCGCCCGCACGACCTGGATGATGCCGTCATTAGACGCTTCCCCAGACGGTGCGTGGTGGGCTGAGGTCCCTTGAACCACTCGCTTGCCATGCATACCTGTTGGCCGCCTCTAATCATTCTCGTGCTTGGCGCCACCAACCGTCCCCACGACCTCGATGATGCCGTCACCAGGCGGTTTCCTAAAAGGTGTGTGCTTCGCTGGACGATGCCAGTTGGGCTGAATCCAGCAATTTTCGACGCCAAGCCTCCCTCTCTCTCTCTCTGCCACACCCCATCCACCGTCTGCCCCTGCAGGGCTTCCTTACCTCTCGTTCTCGTGCGTCCCCGTCTGTGTACCGCCAGGCTGTTCGTGGACTTGCCTGACTGCACAAACAATCACTTCTCTCGCTTCAACAACCCTCCCCTCCCTCTTCTCCTCCCTGCCCGCTCCGTGTGCCCACAGGCTGTTCGTGGATCTGCCTGACTGCACCAACCGAGCCAAAATTCTGAAAGTCATTCTCAAGGATGAGGACGTGGAGCCGGGCTTCAGCACCGATGAGCTCGCTGCTGCCACCGATGGCTACTCGGGCAGCGACCTCAAGGTGAGGCGCCTCAAAACAGGATGCTGCTCGCAGGCAGGCAGGCTGGCAAGCACTGATCCGTTTCGGAAATCTCAAGCAGGCAAGCTAGGCCCTGCAAGAAACACTTGTAACATGTAACTAGTTCTCTGCTCTTACTGCCGTATGTTCCGCTTCTCACAAGCTCGAAATCGTCCTCTCCTGCATCATCACAAGCAGCAGGGAGGGATGCGCCACCCCTTCCAACATCCCTTACCCTCCCCTTCCCTTGTCCTCTTACCGTGTGTGCGCAGAACCTGTGTGTGACAGCAGCGTTCCTGAGAATAAAGGAGTTTCTGGATAAGGAGAAGAAGGTGAGGGGTGGGGAGAAGGTGAGGGGTGGGGAGATGGTGAGGGGTGGGGAGATGATGAGGGGTGGGGAGATGGTGAAGGGCGAGGAGAAGGTGAGGGGTGCTTGGGACATAAAACGGTACGTGTGCACTGCTGGCAAGGGCCAAGGTCTTTGTATGCCATTCCGTAGCCTTGCTACCTGCCATGTGGTCACTAGAATGCCACCCAGCGCTCGCTCCATTATGCTATGCATCGCAGCGAGCGCCTCTCACGTCCCACCTCCCGAACTTGCACCAATTATTTTGGGGGTGTGCGTGCAGGAGAAGGAGGAGGCAGAGAGGAGCGAGGGAGGTGCGGAGGGCAGCAGTGGAAGCAGCAGCGCAGCAGCAAGTGGCAGCCGGGAGGGCGAGGCTGGTGCCTCTCAAGGCTCGGCTTCCCCTGCCGCTGCTCCATGCCTGCGGCCAATCAGCATGGAGGACATGCGGAAGGCCATGGAGAAGGTGAGTCATGTTGCCGTGCTGCTGTGTTGCCGTGTTGCCGTGCTGCCATGCTGCCGTGCTGCCGTGCTGCCGTGTTGCCGTGCTGCCGTGTTGCCGTGTCATGATGGTGGCATGATATAGTGGTTCTTCATGCCATATGACCATTGTCACATGCGACCACACACACGCTCCGGTGTTCTTCTACTCGCTGTGCCTGGTAGGTGCGTGCGAGTGTGAGCAGCGATGCAGCAGCAATGATGGAGTTGATGCAGTGGAACGAGCAGCACATGCGCACCCACATACACGCACTCAAACACGCATGCAATAATGTGTCTCCTTCTCTTTGTGCCTGGCAGGTGCGGGCGAGTGTGAGCAGCGATGCAGCAGCAATGATGGAGCTCATGCAGTGGAACGAGCAGTTCGGGGAGGGCGCCTCGCGCAAGATCACCCCTCTCTCCTACTTCATGTGACCGCCCTCACATGCCAGGGGAGGGCATGGTTGCCAGGGCATGGTTGCAGGGGCGTCAGGCCCTTTGGTTGGTTCTCTAGCCAGCTGGAAATGCCTTATTCTCATGATTTTGAATCATCTGCTAATTCTGAGTACCACAAGAGTAAAATCAGAGAAAGATCACTGTTATTCCAAAGAAATGGCTGGTGAGAGATCAGCCGTGAATCAGCAAAACCAGAGGCATGTCTGCCATCCTGAACACCATGCATGCAACCATCTCCTGCAGGCAGAGCTTGCTGGCATGCTCCTATGAGTCGTGTCATATGAACATGGCTTTTTCGAGCAGAATGCACGTCATCACACGGCACAGCCAACACATGGTGTGTAGCAGCGCTCATCGTATCAATACCATTGCACACAAATCCCACTAGCTCTACTGAGAAGCCAAGCCAGCCCTTTTGGCATGTGTACATGCTCTGATACATGTGTCCATGCGCTATGGTACTTGTGTGCATGCGCTCTGGTACATGTGTACATGAGCAAATTATTGGTGCTTGGCTGCACCTGCAGCTGCAAGGAGCCTGCAAGAATTGGTGCTTTGAGCATCATGGTGTGGTAAATAATAGTTGTACTTAAAACGTTACACCTGACATGGAGAATCAATATAAAGCAACGAACGTATGTGGACACTGCTGCCATCAAGCAATAGCGGCTGTGATTCCTGCCCCTCCTCTTCCTCCCCCTCCTCCTCGCACACCACTCTCAACACTGGAGAGTTCACCCCTACAGCAGAGCTCTCGCCCCTGTTGCTACTGCCACTGACCCTTGCTCTGCTCACATCACTGCCACCACCACTGTTGCTGCTACTGCTGCTGCTACGGTTATTGTTAGAATGGCTGTTAGTGCTGCTGATGGTGCTGCTATAATTGCTGCTAGTGGTGTTGCTTCCAGGGCTGCTGATAGCGCTGCTACTAGTGCTAACGCCGGCGGCAGCAGCAGCAGACGGACAAGAGGCAGGGGAAGCAGCAGGGGGAGGGGAGGATAGGTACAGGGAGGGAGGGTGGGAGCGAGGGGAGCGGGTGGGAAGGCGGGAGGTAGATGAGGAGGAGGGCCAGGGCGGAGGGGGATGAAGGTGGGGCTGGTGGTGAGATTGGGGTTGGTGTAGGGGTGAGGCGTTAGGGGTGGTGGGTACGGACGTGGGAGTGATAGCAGCGCTGGGCATGGTGGGTGTGAGGGGGGCTGCACCGCGCTGTATCCTGGGGGGACGAGACAGCCTGGGAGGAAAGGGGGGAGGAAGAGGGAAAGGGGAGAGAGGGGTGTATAGAGCAGGATGCCGGGAGACAGGAGCAGCGTTAGGCGTGGTGGGTGTGAGGGGGGCTGCACCGCGCTGTATCCGGGGGGACGAGACAGCCTAAGGGAAAAGGGGGGAGGATGGGGGGGGTGGTGGGGGAGGGGAAGTAGGGAGAAGGGTGTATAGAGCAGGATGCGGGGAGAAAGGAGCAGCGTTGGGTTGCAGATCGGTAAGACAGCGATGCGGGCTGGTAAGAAAGCACAAGGGGAAGTCGCTTGAGGTGCCTGCAGCAACAGCTATTGTGCCTGCAGCAACAGCTATTGTGCCTGCAGGTGGGTACATGTGGGTGGTTACTAGTGCAGGCTGTTACCTGTGCAGGTTGAAGAGTGAGACGCCGACCATGATGATGAGCACGCCCACCAGGTTCACACGCGTGAAGCGATCGGAGAACACCAAATGGGACACCTGGGCGTAGGAGGGAGAGGGAGGGGAGCGTGGAGGGTTGCAAGTGGTTGGACGGGAGAGTGAGACGCCGACCATGATGATGAGCACGCTCACCAGGTTGACACGCGTGAAGCGATCAGAGAACACCAGATGGGACACCTGGTGGTGGAGTGGGGAGGGGCGCAGTTGAAAGTAGGCATGTAGGAGCGCAGGCGCCTGGTGAGACAACTGATGCACAAACACAAGGTGGGACACAGGGGGGGGGGTGTGTCATGGGGCGTTCTCAAATTCAGGGAGGTGAAGCATAGAGCAGGTGGTGCATGGCAAGGCTTGGTGGAGGAGGGATGTTAGCAATGCAGAGAAGCAACGCGGCACCTACCAGGATGGTGGCGCCTTCCTTGACAGTGCCAGCCACAGAGAAGGTGACGGCGCTGGTGTGCAGGATGAGCAGAAACTCCGACATGATCTGATGGGGTGGTGGAGGGGAGAGGAAGGGAAGGTAAGGGGGGCGAAAGGGGAGGAATATAAAGTTGACTGAGAGAAGGTGACTGCGTCGGTGTGCAGGATGATGAGAAATAATGGTAGTGGTAATGGTATTGGTAATGATAGTGGTAGTGGTAATGGTAATGGTAATGGTGATGGTAATGGTAATAGTAATGATAGTGGTAGTGGTAATGGTAATCATAATGGTAATGGTAATGGTTATGGTAATGGTGATGGTAATGGTAATGGTAATGGTAATGGTAATGATAGTGGTAGTGGTAATGGTAACGGTAATGGTAGTGGTAATGGTAATGGTAATGATAGTGGTAGTGGTAATGGTAATAGTGATAAAAGTGGTAGTGGTGATGGTAATGGTAATGGTAATGGTAATGATAGTGGTAATGGTAATGATACTGGTAATAATACTTGTAGTGGTAATGGTAATAGTAATGGTAATGGTAATGGAAATCTGATGGGGAACCTGATGGGGAACAGGGGGAACCTGATGGGGAACATAATTTGACAGATCTGAAAAACAGGGGGGGCAGTGGGTTGAAAGGTGATGGGAAACCTGATGGGGAACCTGATGGGGAACCTGATGCGGAACCTGATGCGGAACCTGATGCGGAACCTGATGCGGAACCTGATGGGGAACCTGATGGGGAACCTGATGCGGAACCTGATGCGGAACCTGATGGGGAACCTGATGGGGAACCTGATGGGGAACCTGATGGGGAACCTGATGGGGAACCTGATGGGGAACCTGATGAGGAACCTGATGGGGAACCTGATGCGGAACCTGATGGGGAACCTGATGCGGAACCTGATGGGGAACCTGATGGGGAACCTGATGGGGAACCTGATGGGGAACCTGATGGGGAACCTGATGGGGAACCTGATGGGGAACCTGAAGAGCATGAAGAGCAGCAGCAGCAGGAATGAGCGAGCACAATGGCCGCAAACGAGCAGCGGCAGCGAATTGCCTAAGATTTACCATGAGAAACGCGAGCACCCCTCCCAGCAGCAGAAGCAGCATGGTGGGTGCAAGGTGCGAGGGCGGGGAGAAGTAAGACGAGGAGGGCAGCGAGGCGAGTGGCTCGAGGGCGAGGGAGAAGAGACCGCAGGTGACGGCCATGGGGGGCGTGATGTAAGCCAGAGATACCAGCGGGCTGCTCAGACCTGCAAAAGAGGGCGAGGGAGTGGGGAGGGTGAGATGCAGGGCATGATGGGAGTACAAGAGGCGAGTAGGAGGACCGTGCAGCACACAACACACGGGGCCATGAACAGGAGAAACGGAAGCAGGGAAATACGAGGGAAGTGCAGTAGAAAAATAGGGAAAGGAAGCGTAGCGGAGATAAAGGGCGGGCGGGGTTTGGGGATAGAGAGCATACCAAGGCGATCTTTCTGGGAGACGAGAGGGTGGGCTTGGCACAAGCCATGGCGTGGGTGATGGGGAGGGCAATGGGAAGGGCAATGGGGAGGGCAATGGGGAGGGCAGCAGAGGCACAATGAAAACGGAGTCAGCGTAAAAGGAATATGCATAGTGGCTTATGGATGCTTCTTTAGCATGCCATGGGACGGGACACGACAAACTATGGTTCAATCCCATGGCAATTAATGACTTGGTACCATATTGTACCACAGTACACCCATGCAAAGGCACGTGCGGCAACCATGCATCAGCACCTCACCTGCAGCAGCACTTGAATGAGCACCCATCGCAGGCCAGATGCCATGGCGGAGAGCATGACGAGTACGAATCCCCACAGGTGGAACGATGCCTCGCCCGCCACTGGCAGAGGCCCACAGGCATGCACACATGCACACATGCACACATGCACACATGCACACATGCACACATGCACACATGCACACATGCACACATGCACACATGCACACATGCACACATGCACACATGCACACATGCACACATGCACACATGCACACATGCACACATGCACATGTATAGAAATACAGGAGGATAGTGAGTGATGATGAGTGCTTTGCAGGAGGAAGAGGAGATGTCGGGTGAGATGGTTACGGAGGGGCTAGTGGCATGCGAAAATGAAAGGGAAGGAGGGTGTTTATAACGAGATGAGTATCGGAGTAGTGACAGCGACAGACTGATTGGCTGACCTGTGAAGAGCACGCCCACAGAGATGACCATCATGACGCCGATGAGACGAAAGCTGATAGGCTCCAGCCTGCCGCCCGTGGCGTGGGCGTGACATAGGGTGGCATGGGGGCATGGCATGGGCAGTGCAGTGCAGCAAGGCGACACGTGGAGGACATTGTGAGTGGATCGGAAGCAGAGGCAGAGCAGCAGGAACACACGGGCGCGGCCTTTGCAGTAGAGAGATGCCATTTGACAGCTCTGGACTTCCTTGAGAAAACTGTAAAACGCATCGAAACGAAACGCCTCGGAAGATAAGGCTACGCGCAGCAGGGAGGGACAAGCAGGGAGGGACAAGCAGGCTCTGGAGTTGCGGTGCAGAGACGTGGGCGGGGGGAGACAGGGAAGACATTGAATTGAAACACGGTTTGAGTGGTATTAATTTGACTGGGATGAGATGAGATGAGATGAGATGAGAGCGCACCTGAAGATGAAGGCAAAGAGCAGCAGGAACATGGGCGCACTGGACTTGCACTGCCGTGTGGTGTGGTGTGGTGTGGTGTGGTGTGGTGTGGTGTGGTGTGGTGTGGTGTGGTGGGGACAAACAGGAGCGTGCACAGGGGAATGGGGAGGGGAGTGAGTGGGAGCAACGCAAGGGGATGGGAATGCAAGCGGGTGCGTGTGTCTGTGG